AGCAGAAGAGGGACTGGGAGGCAGCTACCACCGGAAAGGGAAACTGATCATCCTCACTGAAACACAGCACGTGCTGAGTAGAAGAGGGACTGGGAGGCAGCTACCACCGGAAAGGGAAACTGATCATCCTCACTGAAACACAGACCGCAAGACGTACAGACAGCAAAATGCCAGTGCGGGTGTCCCCAGCACTGTCAGCCACGGTTATACCAGTTGTAGTGAGTAGGCACCTACCAGGCCAGGCACTGCACCAGGACCTGACCCGTGGTATCTGTCTGGATCACCATTATCTTCCAGACAAGGAACCTGAGGCTGATGTGGGTTAAGACACATGTTAAAGGCAACAGACAGACAGAAACTGCAGCTGGGCGCAATGGCTCATGCCTGTAATCCCAGCACTTTGGGAGGCCAAGGCAAGATGATTGCCTGAACCCAGAGGTTTGAGACCAGCCTGAGCATCTTGGCAAGACCTCATCTCTGCAAAAAAAAGTAAAAAAAAATTAGCCGGGTGTGTTGGCACATGCCTGTAGTTTCAGCTACTTGGAAGGCTGAGGCAAAAGGATCACCTGAGCCCAGTAGGTCGAGGCTGCAGTGGCCGTGAGCGTGTCACTGCACTCCAGCCTGGGCCACAGAGTAAAACTCCAACTCAACAAAAAGAAAGAAAGAAATTGAACCCAGGTCTGCCGAATCCCATTTCTCTTTCTTTTTTTTTTTTTTGAGACACGGTCTCCCTCTGTCACCCAGGCTGGAGCAGACTGATGCAATCCAAGCTCACCAGTGAGGAAATCTGTCATCAGGACACAGTCTACAATCTGCTAGTCAATCTACTAGTCAGTATAGCGTCTGTCTGTCTCTTCCTCTACACTGGAGTAGGACAGGGTCTCTCTCTCTCTCTTTTTTTTTTTGAGACAAGGTCTTACTCTGTTGCCCAGGATGGAATGTAGTGAGATGATCAAGGCTCACTGCAGTCTCAACCTCCTAGGCTCATGTGATCCTCCCTCCTCAGCCTCCTGAGTAGCTAGGACTACAGGCATGCATCACCATAATTGGTTAATTTTTAAATTTGGGTTTTTTTTGTAGTGATGGGATCTCACTATGTTGCCCAGGCTGTTCTCAAACTCCTGGGCTTAAGCAATCCTCCCACCTCAGCCTCTGAAAGTTCTGGAATTACAAGCATGAGCCATGGCACCCAGTCTCTGACCCCTGTCTATACACTTCCTACAGCTGCACCCTCACTCTCTGCCCACTAGCCTGGGAGACCCTTAGGGGGACTGTATCCCATAGGGCAGAGAGCTTTAGGAAGGGCTAAGAGGCCCAGTCAGCCACAAACATTTGAGGTTGGGAAAGGTAGGACTGACACCTTTTAAGGATGAGAGGTCACGAAGTAAAGAGGTCACGGAGGTCAAGAGGTCACAGAGTCTTAGGGTGAAGGGTAGGCTCAAGGACCCAGTCTACTACCCAGTTCTTCCCATTCTACTCAAGGAGGAGGTACCCGATGGCTGGGGCAGAAATAATGAGGTTTCCTGGATGTAGAGGGACCCTGGGCTGAGCATCTGAGAGAAGTAATGGACAGGAACACAACCCACCCCAAACCTTTTTATTTTATTGTAGTTTTTTCAGAGACCAGGTCTCACTCTGTTGCTAACCAGAGTGCAATGACATACCTGGCACTACAGGCATATACCACCACAACTGGCTAATTTTTTTTTTTCTTTATATAGATGGAGTCTCACTATGTGGTCCAGACTGGTCTTGAACTCCTGGGCTCAAACGATCCTCCTGCCTCAGCTTCCCAAAGTGCTGAAATTATAGGCATGAGCCGTTGCACCCCAATCCTTACCTGCCCAAATGTCGTGTACAGGAACACAGGGATCTCAGCCACTGTCATGGCCAGGGCCTGGATCATGGACATGCCCTCAGTCCTCCGGAACGCCATAGCAGGACAGGCACCCCAGGCAAGAGCCCTCAGGGTCGGGAGCTTCCAAGGAGAACGTCTTCAACTGGTTGTCAGCTGGGTCTTGGGCACCGTCCACACCCCAGAAGGACAGGGATACACATACCAGAGGGTCCCTCCACAGAGCTAAGAAACAGATGACCAAGTCAGACACAAGAATACACACACAGGACACACAGAAATGCACGCATAAGCGCCCTTAGGGGATGAGGTGGGAGCCCCTACATCTAGAATACCAGCCTGGACCAGGCCTGGTATATGCCAGTTAGCAGGCAGTCAAACACCCCACAGACCTCTGCCTGCCATGAGCCCTGGGAGTGGGAACATTCCTGGCCTGCTGGCCCAGGAGAGGACTTAGGGCCTGGAGATGGAGGGTCACTCTCAAACTTGGAACTGTCTGCCACATTTTCCCAATCTTTTTTTTTTAAGTTGGAGTCTCACTCTGCATACCACCAGTCCCAGCTAGTTTTTGAAACTTATTGTATAGATGAGGTCTCGCCAAGTTGCCCAGGCTGGTCTCAAACCCCCAGGCTCAGGTAATCCTCTCTCCTTGGCCTCCCAAAGTGCTGGGATTACAGGCTGACCCACCTTTCCAATCTTTTAAAACCCATAGGCTGAGCTGGGCTTGGTGGCTCACCCTGTAATCCTGCGCCTTTGGGAGGCTGAGGTGAGAGGACTGCCTGAGCTCAGGGGATTGAGAACCGCCTGGGCAACTTGGCGAGACCTCATCTCTACAATAAATAAAAAATTAGCCGGGAGTGGTAGCGCGCACCTGTAGTTCCAGCTACTTGGAAGGCTGAGGCGCAAGGATCGCTGGAGTCCAGCAGGTCGAGGCTGCAGTGGCCGGGAGCGGCCACTGCACTCCAGTCTGGGCGACAGAGTGAGACTCCAACTCAAAAAAACAAAACAAACAAAAAAAGCCCCAAAAAGCCACAGGCTGTAGGGTGTGATGGCTCATGTCATAATCCCAGCACTTTGGGAGGCTGAGGTGAGAGGACTGCCTGAGCCACAGGTTCTAGACTAGTCCAGGCAACTTGGTGAGACCTCATCTCTACAATAAATCAAAAAATTAGCCAGGTGTGGTGTCATGCGTCTGTAGTTCCGGCTATTTGGAAGGCTGAGGCGGAAGGATCGCCTGAGCCTAGCAGGTGGAGGCTGCGGTGGTCATGAGCGTGCCCCTGAACTCCAGCCTGGGAGATAGAGCAAGACTCCAACTCAAAAAATAAAAAAAAACCCACTGGCCATTTGCTAACCAAAACTCTCAGGCCCCAGACTGAGATCACTGCGTCTTTTCCCACAAAGCCAAGAACGTTTTCTTTCCTGTGAGCTATTTTGAAAACAGCAGAACATCTCTCCAGATAACAAAAGCTACTGTACATTGTATGTATACTTTGCACTTGAGTTCTGTACGTACATCACCTCATGGAAGCGTTGCAATCCTGTAAAAGTTATGCCACCCACCTTCCGCCCTTCCTAAAAAGGAAACTGAGTCTCACAAGGCTAAGTCTGGAGTCCAAAGTCATACAGCTTATATATGGTGGAGTCAGGTTTTGGGCCAAAGTCTGGTGGACTCTAGACTCTGTGCTCCACACAGCCCTTTTGTTAAATGTGACACACAGCAGGAAGTGGCAAGTCCCCAGCAGAACCACAAAGGATGAGGGAGCTTTCCCTGGACCTTCTGGGGCTGCCCTCCATGGTGCCCCCACTGCCCCATCTCAAGGCCAGGGGCTAAGTGGCTTGGTCACACATAGCCCAGACTCCAAGACCCTGCAGGGTGCTCCCCAACCACCAGCACCAAGCCCACAGATGCCTCCAAGGTCTCCTGGGACCTCAAGCAGAAGGAACACGCAGCCCAGGACAGACCCTGTCTCCCTGGGAAGGCAGCCAGAGTCACTGGGCCAGCACGAAAAACAGCTTATCCCCAGGGAGGGGTGAAGGACGAATGATCCCATCAGTGCAGCTCTAGGCCTGGGGGTGTGGGGGCGGCCAGGGTGACGTTCTAGGGCTACTAGGGCTAAGGAAACCGTCTGTCATCAAGGGGAGGAGACACCCTGCCGTGAGGCTGCAAATCCAACTATGTAAACTCTGGTGTTCAGGGGCTGGTTAACACTGTAAGCTACTCCTCCCCTGCCCGGCCCGGCTCAGGCCTCAGAAGGGAAGACAAGAATGTTAGGCGATCAGCAGCTACTGTTTCCCGAGTGCTTGTTCCAGGTCAGGCTCAGACAGGCTCTCCCTCAAAAGCTAAGTCTACTCACTTGCAGAACCCTCATGATAATCAAGGATTAGCTCAAGGATGGGGAACACTGAGGCTCTGAGAGGGGAGCAGCCTGCCAGAGGTCACAGAGGATGTGCCCAAGCTGGGACTTGAACTAGCTCTGGGGATCTCAAGGCTGAAATGGTGGTACCTAACCACTGCTCCCTCCAGGCCATATCTGAAAGGACATCTGGGCCCCTAATTGAGAAGCCCATATGAAGTTATAAAGATAAGCCTGGGCCGATGCAGTGGCTCATGCAGTAATCCCAGCGCTTTGGGAAGCCAAGGCAGGAGGATTGCTTGAGCCCAGGAGTTTGAGACCAGCCTGGACAACACAGCAAGACTCCATCTCTACAATAAATAAATAAATAATTAGCTAGGCATGGTGGGTGGCGCATGCCTATAATTCCAGCTACTTGGAAGGCTGAGGCTGAGGCGGTGGGATTGCCTGAGCCCAGCAGGTCGGGGCTGCGATGGCTGTGAGCGTGCCACTGCACTCCAGCCTGGGAGACAGAGTGAGACTCCAACTTTATTTTTTATTTTTTGAGTTGGAGTCTCACTCGCTGGCCCAGACTGGAGTGCAATGGCCGCTTCCGGCCACCACAGCCTCAACCTGCTGGGCTCCGGCGATCCTTCCACCTCAGCCTTCCAAGTAGCTGGAATTACAGGCATGCGCTACACCCGGCTGATTTTTTGATTTATTGTAGAGATGAGGTCTCGCTGCCCAGGCGGGTCTCGAACCCGCGGGCTCAGGCAATCCACTCACCTCAGCCTCCCAAAGGCGCGGGATTACAGGCTGAGCCACTGAGCCCGGCCAGACTCCAACTTTAAAAAAAAAAAACAAATGAGCCCGAACACAGGTCCACAGGTGGGACGGGGTTGGGAGGTGGAGACGGAGGCCTGGTGTTTGCAGGGGTGTCCAGAGCAGCCTGCACTCTCCCCACCAAGAGGAAAAGCAACAGGTGCGAGGTAACACCACCAGCCCCCAAGGCCGCTCCACTCCAGGGATGGACCCAAATCCAGCCCACCCACACCCTGTCCGTTCCCTGGCACCACCCACCCGGTCGGCACAACGAAAGGCCCATGGCGATGCCCGCCCCTCAAGTGGACACTGCCAACGCTGTGCAGGGCCTGGCCCCACCGGGGCAGCCACCTCCTCCTCCCACCCCCGCCAGGCACTTGCAACACCCCCAGCCTGGACACCTCCTCCCCGGTCCCGGACAGCCCCACTGATGACTCTGCCGGGCAGCGCCTGCCCCTTATGCCGCGACCCCAGTCACGTCCCGGCCCAGGCACACTCCTCGACCCAGCCTCCCGGTCACCGCCGCCTGGACGCCCCGCGGGTCCCATCGGTCGGGCACGGGGCATTCCCGCTCTGGGCCTCAGCGACACCCCGTCTTGGGCAACGGTTCCTCCCACCCCGGACCCACAGCCCGTCCGTGCGCAGCCCAGGTGAGGCCCCCAGAATACCCTTGGGCACCACCCGGGCACCCTCCGGCGCCGCCCACGACCCGCAGTCCTGCACCTCTCGCCCCGCCTGCTTCCCCGGCCCGCGCCCCGGCCCAATCCCCGCGGCGTTCCGGGCCGGGGCTTCTCCGCCCCGACCCGGGCACCTCCTCGTTCCATCCCGCGGCAAGGCACCCTCTCG